TGGTTAGTGGTTTCAATGTAATTCTATATCTAAGTGGAGATTCTATTATGTTTAGTTTTTTTGTTTCTATTAGGTTTAGTTTACTTTCCTATATCATTTGAGACTTGATACCTCTTCTAAGTGTCCAAATAGTGTCATATTTGGATTTTAGAGTCTTTATAAGTGATGTTACCTATTATTTTATGGTGAACTGGATGAAGATTTTCCCTCTACCGTATCTCGGCTTTTCTCTCCAACTCTTCCATTTCTCATCTCCTTTGTTCTTCTCCTCCTAATCTAACCTTCTCCTTTTCCCTTTCACTTTTTGTCTATTTCGTGCTTCATATTCTTTTATTTTTATGGTACATCAGAAGGATTTTACACAATTAAATTGTTTTAACTTTAAATAACTGAGGTTTTGTTCTTGAGTGTTGTGAAATGTTATGAAGGTTTGCTTGCTAAAGTTTCTAAAGTCACGATTATGAGATCATGAGCTTCTCATTTTTCAGGAGAATAATGAGGACATGAGAATGACAAATGATGACATCTTAGGAAGATGAAATACCATTTGGGCAGCTAACTTTTTTTAGGGCGTTCCAACTTCCAACACATTGAACTTGGAGCTAAAAGTCCGCATGGTATTGGTACACTTTGAGTACCTGGTATTTACTTCAATACAATGCTATTTCTTGAAGACTTTCAACCCGGTTAAGCTGATAGTTGTTTAACTAGGGAAATCATTTGTTTGAATGTCATTAAGCTAATCTTTTATCCATTTAATTCGGATAGTATCTTGTGAATCTTCTTTGTATTTTTGTAGTCTTCAGCATGCTTAAAATATAACGTATTGAATTCTTTCTTTGCTGGTTAGTACAATACTTCTGAATTTAGACTTATCCAAAACTAATTGCAGATGGTTCGGATCCTTCTCTTCATATTCTGGTAAGATTATTGAGTGTTCTTGGAAGTCTGAGGAACAGGTGTGGACCTGTTTGCGGGTCGGAAAAGATAAATCAACTCCCAATGGTTTCAGTACCTGTAAGAAGGTCCATCTTATATGGCAAGTTTGATATTTGTTTCTTTTCTCCTAAGCCAACTCGACTGAAAAATGTTGTTTGATGATGTCAGGTGATGAAAAGCATGAAGGACAATATCACCGTAGATGACTTTTTGAATAAGATTTATGAGATTATTCGTCTCCCCATGTATGCTGATAGGATACAGAATGACAGCAGAGCTCAACGCAGGTGATGAACTGACTTATTGAGCGGCCTTTCTTCACCTACTTTTTTACAAGCAAAAGTTGGGAGGTATTGTTCTGGATTGTGCTTACCACACAGGTTTCATTTAGCGCAGGGCACAGACAATGTGAAGGGTCACCGAAAACACTTTGTAATTAGCTATATCCCCCCTTCTATTTTTGTAGTGTGTACTATGCCGGTGAGTTGTATGATCCAGTTAGTATTATTGTTTCTCCTTTCAAGTAGTGTTCTCAAAGGTATAGCCTGTTTTTTTTTTTTTTTTAACAAATTGAAATTATTTATTTATATCAATTAAATGAGGGAATGGGAAAGAGGATCTCTGGGACTCGAATACGCTACGTACAAGAGATATATGGTTTTAACCTAAGTTTCATGCCACTAAATCGGAGTAACTGTTCCAAAAGTATAACCTATTTTTTTTTTAAATGAAAATTGAAAACTGTATTAGTATTATTTTCTTGGGCTTACGGCATTGGGCATCGTGTTCCATATGCTTGTCATCCGGCTCTCTCTTATGGCCGAACTCATCTTTGCCCTCTGAACTTTATTCTTTTTTTAAAAAACTACAACTTCATAAAATTATATTAAAATTGGTGGTTTTTTTTTTCATATTTATTAAAATCAATAATCTTAACAAAATAATGTTGTAACAATGATTTTGAGGGGTACAAAACATACTTGAATTATTAATTAATTTATTTAAGTATGTAGTTTATGACTTGAAAGCTAAGAATAATGAATGAACTTGGATTGTATTGAAAAAGAACCAAAATATTGAAATTGGT